ATAATACATATTTATATGGCAAAAGCAGAATCAAAATTTGGTATTTGAGAATCTTACCCATTTACTTCAGCCATAATTTCAAAAAAATCTAAAGCAAAAATCTGATGTTCTCCTGCATTGCTAGTAAAAACAAAGTTTGGCAGGGTTTTTTGTTTAAGATAACAAAACAGAAATCACATTTTCAAGTGCCCTGTTTTTCTGGCTTACAATATTTAAGTATACCCCAAGGGCATACTCAAGACTTCTCAGTTTCCAGGACTGGGAATGTACTCTGACAACCCAGCAACTAGATTGCCAAGCAAAACGCAGTGCTTCATGGTGTCAGAAAAAGTACTTTAAAAGAAAAGCGATAAAAAAAAAATCTGCTCTACGGGGCTGGAGAGATGGCTTAGTGGTTAAGAGCACTGACTGCTCTTGCAGAGGACCCGGGTTCAATTCCCAGCACCCACATGGCCGCTACAAACCGTCCTTAACTCCAGTTCTGAACTCTCTTCTGACCTCCACGGCATTTTCAGGCGATACACTCATACACATAAAATAAATTTTTTAAAAAAAGCCTACTCTGCAATCTATTTGAGGAGGTAAGCAGTTCTGCAATTTTTCATGTGCTGTTTTTTTCAGGGGCAGTCTATGCTAAAAATATTTATGAACGTGTGTTCTTATAACCTTGCTATAGTATGTCTATAAAGCACCAAGCCATTCCTGGTAACTCATGTCTATAATCCAAGCATTAAGGAGACTAATGTGGGAAGATTTCCAGTAGTCCGAGGGTAACCTGGGCTAACTAGTTACGACCTAGGCTACACAGTGTGAGACTGTCTGAAAAAAACAAAAACAACAAAAAAAACCCAGAAGGAAACAAAAACAAAACCCCAGCAATTGCCCTTCTTAGATGGTAAAATTTCTTATTTTGATAAAGTAATTCCACTGAACTGAGAATCTCCAAAATTATTTTTCCAAATTAATTATCTCTAAAATGATTCATGCCATTTACCCACCTAGAACTGAACTGAAACATAACAGAGTATGGCTCTTGTCAATATCTGGAGATGTAAATGACCTATATTAACACTCATCTCCTTGTGATATCAAAGAATAAATCCACAACATAAAGCCTTCTTTAGTGATTAAAATAGTTTCAAATTTTTTAAGATTCCCTCTGTTCATTAGCTTGAAATAATTTACTGGAATTCTTATTTCTCAGTCTGCAATTATATTTATTTTTTTAATTTTTTTTTATTTTATGTGTATGCATGTATTGCTTGCATGTAGGTAAGTGCACCTGTGTCGTGCAATGCCCACAGAGGACAGAAGAGGCTGCTGGATCCCCTGGGACTGGAGTTATGGACAGTTGTTAGCTGCCAGTGGGTGCTGGGATTCAAACCCGGGTCTTCTGCAAGAACAGCCAGCGTTCTTAACCGCTGAGACATCTCTCCAGCCCCGATTATATTTATAAATATATGTGGTATATTTTGTTTTTGGAATGCAACATAGTATACCCTATTTTATTTTTGAAAGTCTCAAAAATAGTTTACAGTAAAGTGTGTCTGTGTCTGGTGCTAAAGACTGAACTCGGGGCCTTGTACATGCCAGGCAAGCATTCTACCAAATCAGTCCCCAATTTTTTAAGTAGACAACATGGTTCCAAAGTGAGAAAATGTGGGCATGGTGGCCCACAGTTTCAATCCCAGCACTCGGGAGGCACAGGTAAGTGGATCTGTATGAGATCAAGGCCAACTTGCTCTACAAAGCAAATTCCACACCAGCTGGGGCTACAGTGGGGCCCTGTCTCAAAAAAACAAATAAATAAAGGTCACAAAGTGCCAAACTAAGAATCTTGTCTTCTTTTTTGCAACCATGAAGTTCCCATTTGAAGCAAGCAGAGTTACAAGTTTTTTATATATTCTTACTGAAAGTCTTTCTGAATGTAATCAATTACATATATATCCTTCCCATCTTTGTTCTAACTATAGTATGTGCTGTACAGTACCATAAAGACACATTTTTCTCACACAGTATATATTTGAGATTGTTTCTCTAACACTAAAGATTGTATATGAGAGTATCATCAATCATGTCTACAACTGCAGAATACTGTACTGTATGGAGCACAGTACGCTTAAAAACAACAATAAGGCCGGGGTGGTGTGGCAAAGCAGGCTTTTAATCCCAGGATGGGCACACAGATCTCTTCAAGACCAGCCTGGTCTACAAAGCAAATTCCAGATCAGCCAGGGCTACATACTGAGACCCTATCTCAAAATAAAATATAATAAAAAACAAAAATCCCAATAAAATAAGTACAAAAAACATACCTCAAACACATTTCAGACCCAGATCTCTCACAACATTCAATTTTCCAGTGCTCATATGTGGCTGCCTAACTACAACAGTTGATTGTCTTAGCGGAGACTTACGGTTTTCTTGTTCCACAGTTGGTTAAATAACGTCTAAGATTCTATCTAAAATTTAGTAAAAAATGCATAAATTATCTGATGGTCAAGTATGTACTAACCTGTTATATGAGACAAGCTGACTTGAAGGTAATCCAAAGCTAGTGAATCAATTACTGCTTGTACATTGTGAGCCTCATCCTCTTGACTCCTGGGAATAGCTATGAGGTCTGTGGAGGGGGGGAAGGTCACATTATTTTGCATCTGTGGGGGGGCAAGTTTTGATTTATTTGTCCATGACAAAGCTTCCACCTCAATAGCTACAAAAGCAAGAAATCCAAACAAAAAAGGATTTGTAAAGTATAGACAAATAGAGCCTGAATTCTACATAGTACGAGTATGTTCTATACATAGGAGTGTTCTATACAAACACCATGTAAATAAATAGAGGTCCCTAAACACAAGGCATTCCAATAGTCTAATAAGGAAGCCAAAGCCAGGTAGGTATCACAAGCCTGTCACCTCAGTACTCAAGAGGCTGAGGCAGGAGGATTATGAGTTTATAGCCAGAATGAGACCCTATCTCAAAAAGTTGAAAAAATAAAATAAATGAAAAGGAAAACATGAGACTCAAACTATGAGCTGCTTTCCCCATCAGGGTACAATTAAAACTAAACAAAAAACTTCCAACGCAGTAGGTGTTGAAGCAGGGCTCTGAACACCCTGTCACAATAGTCTGTTGGTAATGGGAATAACTACTATGCAAAAATTTTAATAGCAAGTCAAGTCTGGAGTGTCTCCACTGGTATTGAAGAAGATTTTAGACAGAGGTTGAGACTAACGTCAAGCTACCACAGCTACAAGTCATATCGTTTTTCTAAAAAATGTAGAGGGCACTTATTCACATTAACAATGGGAAGAGAAAGTATAGTGATCTTATAATACTGAACATTTATAAATTAGATGCAAAGAAAGGGGCATCTAAGGATAAGGGCTGAGATATTTAACCAAGGAAATGGGCAAAATAATGTGGCATAAAATGAGCAAATCACACAATTCGTTAGCTGTCTTCTTAGTAAATTAGGTTCACCAAGTACAAACATTAATTCTTATCCATAATAGTGGTTAAATAAGACCCAACACATTTCCAAGATCCACTCAAATTTAGGCCTCTGAAAGGACAGTTATAGAAATAGTATGACTGACTTTCACAAGCATTACAGAAATAGTATGACTTTCACAAGCATTACGCCTCATTGGATTAAATGGTACTGGACTAAATGGGAATTAAGAACTGTCAAACTATTTGATCATGGCTTTATTAAAGCTGGGGCCCATAACATAGTCATTAAGGCAATCAGTGCCATATTTGGATAGAAATAAGATGTTGAGGGCCGGAGAGATGGCTCAGCAGTTAAGAACACTGGTTGTTCTTGCAGAAGACCTGGGTTCGAATCCCAGAACCCACATGGCAGCTAACAACTGCCCATAACTCCAGCTCCAGGGGATCCAACTGCCTCTTCTGTTCTCTGCAGGCACTGCACGACACGGGTGCACTTACCTACATGCAGGCAATATACTCATACACATGAAATAAAAATAAAATATATTAAAAAAAAGTAAGATGTTGAAAGGGAAATTCTACAGCTGTCAAAGGAAGAGCCATGTATGGTGGCACACACTTTTAACCCCAGCACTTGGGAGGCAGAAGCAGGAGGATTTCTGTGATTGAGGCCAGCCTGGTCCCCACTGTGAATTCCAGGCCAGCTGGGGCTATAGGGAGACCCTGTCTCAAAAACATAAAACAAAATGTCAAAAGAAATGCGTCTTGAGATATAAACAAAATTACCCTTTCTTTTTAGTACCCTTACCTGGTACCTTTTCTCCCAAAATGGATTGATAAAGAGCAATAAAAACATTAGCATCACAATCTTCAAGTTCGTGCATCCTCAGGTGTATATGACATTTAAAAAGAAGGTTATTGGCAATTGTTACCCATTCTGTTGGAAAGAAGGGGGGGGGGTCATTCTTCAATAGGAAAGTTATACACACATTTAAAAATCACTGCCCCAGAACAACATACATTCAACACTGTACAAGGAATTTGTCAAAATGTCAAAGACTCTACTAAGCAAACGTTTTCAAAAAATGTACTTAATTTCTTGAGATGATTTCCAGAGTGCTATACTTTCTATGCGGCCAAATCCTGCGGGGGCAGAGAAATGGTTCAGTGAGAGCGCTCACTGCTCTTACAGGGAACCCAGGTTAGGTTCCTAGCATCCATAGCAGTTGACAGCAGTCTTTAACTCCAATGACTTCTGCCCTCTTCCGGCTCTGCACACATGTGGTGTTCTTATATACATGCAGGGAAAACACTCACACATAAAATAAAACTGTAGAGCAAATCTAATTTTTCCTCTCCAAATTTAAAATCTTATTTATCAGTATTTTCATAACACTTACACAGGTGTTTTTAGTCACAATGTATAAGTGAGACTATCCTAACAGTTTGTAAATGATTATCTAAAATTGCTAGAAACTAATGGAGGTGGCTTCAAATTCCCAATGGCCTTAAACATGTTTCTACCCAATTATCTTGTGTCAGGCCCGACCTCTCTTCCTGTCCAAACAAGTGGTGATTAATTTAGGCTGTTAAGAATGACAACACCAACACTAATGCAATTGTTAGTTTTTCTTTTTTATTATTTTGATGTATATGAAAGAAAACATGGGGGAAAACCCATAAAAACATCCCTAAGCTCCCTACTAGCACATCAGTAATAGCGTTAAAGATTCCCATGTATTGAACACATGCTGCCCTCCCCCAGACAGTGCTGCATTGACCAGATTAAGGGTTTCAAACCTAAAGATAATTCTGAAAGCTTGAAACACTTGGGTCCTGAAATGACTGGAAATGAAAGGGAAGACATCGTAGAGGTGGATGCCCCTCCATGGGATGGGCAGATGGCCTGGAGAAAACAGCGTGTATCTTCCAAGGCCATTACGCCGCAACCTCCCGAAGCCTCTGACCACGCCACAGGCAACTGTACACTGTCCAGGAGAGAAGCAGGGACGCGTCCTAGGCAACCCAAGGAGGTGCTAGTCAAGGAGGTTCACTCTAGAGGGCACTAGGGAGACAGCAACAAGCTGTCCGACTTTGCAGGAGCATCAACGAGGATCTTATGGAAAAGAAAGTGGTTCCGCCTCGTCTCTACAACGCAAAGGCAGGAGACCACAACGGCGTGTCCCAGGCTAGACCCACAGAATCCCAGTCCTCCCAGTCTCCCCACTCCGCCCCCCTGAAGCCCCGAGTCTCTGTTCCACGCCTCCAAGCCCAGGTCGCGAGCCCGAGGGACCCGACATCCAGACCCCCATTCTCCCCGTTCCCCCCTCCCCCGGTGACTAACTGCGACGGACGAAACCCGCCGGCGGCCCAGACCGAGTTCCACACCGCGGTCCACACACACCAGGGCTCCAGGCTGAGACTCACCAGCCTCTGAGCCGACCATACCGCCGAGAGAGGTCGCCGCCGGACTCCGAGGCAGGAGCGCAGACGACAATCGCCGGGAAGGACCGCGGCGCGCAGAGCCAGGGCCGGGAAGAGGGGGTAGGAACCCTAGAGGCGGGGGTGGAAGAGGGAGGGGCGTGAAAACGACTTCTCGCCGCTGATTGGTCATCAGAGATGCACTTCCTTTCTCAACACGCGCAGAGGAGGCAGTTTGCGGGTCCTAGACACCATTCCCCGCGGGCTCGATCCCGGTAAAGGGTTCTCAGATCGGCGGGCTAGGCAGCCAGGTCACCCAGCAGCCCGGCGGATCTCCCGGAGCCATTAGATCCGTGCTTCCGGTGAGTACGTCGTGATGTATGCCTCCGCCACTGCCGGGCGAGAAGTAGTGCGGCCGGCCCCCTTAGTTGGCATCACGTGACAATGCCAGTCTCCGCCTCCGCACCTCTTTTGGTTTTGGGCGTAGGGCCCTGTGGAGACGTAAACATCCCTGAGACCGTGAGGTGACCGGTGCTGCCCGTGTAAACGGCCAGCCGGCCGCGGGAGAGTAGCTTGTTTGAGGTACGGGAAGACGAGAAGGGGGTGCAGTCGAGGGCAGAAGGAGGCATTCTTGTGGTAGACGGACCCAGTCGTGAAGTGGGGGGGCACAAACGGGCGTCTTAGGAAGGCGCGCCCGCGGGGGGAGGGGCCGGAACATGGCGGATTCCCGAATGCCAGCGGGCGTTGAGGCCTCTGAGCAGGGGGGCGGGGTGATTAGGTCATAGAGCGGCTCCCATCGTCCTTTGCGGCGAGGAGGTGGTCCAGACTATAAAAGCGGCTGCCGGGAGCCGGCCGGCACCTCATTCATTTCCACCGTTGTCTGGGTGTGTAGCTCCGGCTCTGGTCACCGCCGTTCCTCCGCCGGTGACGCCCCCGCAAAGGCTTCGCCGTCGCCGAGGCCATCGCTCAGCGACCCGTCGCCCCCAGTTCTCTTCACTCGGTTTTCCCTGCCAACCGCAACCATTGACGCCATGTCGAGTTATTCCAGTGACCGAGACCGCGGCCGGGATCGAGGGTGAGTGTGGGCCACCTGCCTGTGAGGCCCCAGGGTGGGGGATGGGCGGCGCGGCTTGAACGGCGGCTTTTCGGGCCTTCTCGAAGACAGGCTGGCGCCTTCCCGACAGCCAGGTACTGGCGGCGAGTGGCTATTTGCCAGAAGGTCGCTCTCTAGCCCCTCCGTGGTTCCGGAGGGCGGCCTCGCGGCTGTTGGCGGAGGCCGAAGGAGCGCGGTAGGGCGGGGGAGCGCCGCTCTTCCCGGCGGCCGGGATGGTCGGGCGAAACGTTCTGTCGAGTTTTTTTAGGGGCTCCCCGTATCCCGGGAGAGGAGAGGGGGCGCTTCCGAGGCCATCCGGGCGGGCGGAATCAGCCATGTGGCTGAGGTGCGGCCACAAAATGCCGGCCTCGGACATGGCGGCGGCGCCTTTGTTACCCCGCCCGGCGGAGGAGCTCAAAATGGCAGCGTCGAGAAAATGTGGCGCAGAGAGAAATGCGAGACAAAGGGGGAAGCGCCGCCCCAGCGGGAACGCCGCCCGGCCGACTCCGCCCGGGCCGGGACTCCTCCCCCGGTAGTCGCCGGCTCCTCCTCTTTTTCCTCGCGTTATGTAATTTTGCTACCTCGTTCCGGAGTTGTTCGGGCTCCGCGGCGGTTCCCCGACTTGGATCGGCTGCTGTGCGCTCCCCTACCCCGACACCCTCGCAGTTAGCTGTTCTGTCTGTGCGGCCGGTAGGCCTTAAAGCCCGAAGTCCGTCCCTTCTTACCCCGCTTCTAGTCACTAAATCTATGCTCCTGGGAGAGTATATGGTAGATGCGAGCAGCTGTCCTTGTAATCCGAACTTGAGATGCTTGGGCAGTCAGTTTCTCCGACTTGAGCGATCTCGGGCTGTTTATTTAGCCTCAGTAGTATGTGCTTGGTAATGAGATGTACTGTGCCCGGTGTGGCTGTCCAGCCCATGTCAGTGGATGTTAACTAGGTGTACTCACCTATATATTGACGACGTTTTATGATGTGGCTAACGCTTTTTCCCTTAATTTTAGATTTGGTGCACCTCGATTTGGAGGGAGTAGGGCAGGACCCCTGTCTGGAAAGAAGTTTGGAAATCCTGGGGAGAAACTAGTTAAAAAGAAGTGGAATCTTGATGAGCTGCCCAAATTTGAGAAGAACTTTTATCAAGAACACCCTGATTTGGCTAGGCGCACAGCAGTGAGTAATTTGATCTGACTTCTTTAGCCTATAACACAGTTAGCAGCTTCTCATCTTATTAGTGTCTGACAGATGTCCTGCAAATGACTCAATTTTGGGAGAGTTCTTCAAACATGTTGCACAGCTCCATATTGACTGCAGTGCTTTTATCCCAGCACTCAGTGAGGCGCCCTGTCTGCAAAAATAAAGTTGTGAATGCTGGAGTGGGTAGTTTTTAGGCTATATGATAGTTTATAAGTTAAGGTAAAGAGATGTTAATGGACTACAGTACAGGGTCTTGTTCTGTATATAGTAGGCATTGTCATGAGACTTACTCTTTTTCAGCAAGAGGTAGACACATACAGAAGAAGCAAGGAAATTACAGTTAGAGGTCACAACTGCCCAAAGCCCGTTCTAAATTTCTATGAAGCAAACTTCCCTGGTAAGTTTTCAGCTCCACCTCTCATTTGTTCCCATTCTTTCCAATGAGATTTTGGATTGCTTTTACTAAAAGTATTACTGGTTGCAGCAAATGTCATGGATGTGATTGCAAGACAGAACTTTACTGAACCCACTGCTATTCAAGCTCAGGGATGGCCAGTTGCTCTAAGTGGATTGGATATGGTTGGAGTAGCTCAGACTGGATCTGGGAAAACGTTATCTGTAAGTTCAGAAAAAAACACTTGATAAATGGCTTGGAAGATAGAACTGGTAGTGGGTTTTTTTGTTTGTTTTTGGTTTTTTTGTTTTTTGTTTTTAAGTTTTAATGCAATTTCTGCCCCCTCTTCCCCTCCAGTATTTGCTGCCTGCCATTGTCCACATAAATCATCAGCCATTCCTAGAGAGAGGTGATGGGCCTATTGTAAGTATTTCTTTAGTTTTTGGGTCACCATTCTATAGAGGTTTGTAGAATACATAATATTGTCAGCCAGTATGCTAGAACTGCATACACCTGAAGAGTGGGTCTGGTAGCATAAAACAGCATTTTAAAACTAATGTCTAAGAACAGGGAGGTGGCTCAGCTGGTAGACTTGCCACTGAGCCAGATAACCTGAGTTCAGTCCCCATAACCCATATGATAGGAGAAAACCAACTCCCACAAATTGTCCTCTGATTTCTATATGTGCTCCCACACAAAAAGGATATTTTTTGAAATTTTTAAAGCTAGGGTCATCTTGGGAGGTAGAAGTTCAGGACTGGCCTAGTTACAATGACTATTAACAAAATTAGTGCCCAACCTAAACTCCGTCTCCAATACACGTGTGCCCCCTGTTATGCCTCTTTATCCCAAGAAAGGTACTAGTATCCTGGTTTCTACTAAATACTGTTTTTTTTCCCCTTTAGTGCTTGGTGCTGGCACCAACTAGGGAACTGGCCCAGCAGGTGCAGCAGGTTGCTGCAGAATACTGTAGAGCTTGTCGCCTGAAGTCTACTTGCATCTATGGTGGTGCTCCCAAGGGACCACAGATTCGTGATTTGGAGAGAGGTAGGTGATTATAATGTTCTGTCATTAATGTCAGTGATGATACAAGCTTCACATATTATGGTTACATTTACTCATTTATTTAAAGGTGTGGAAATCTGTATTGCAACACCTGGAAGACTGATTGACTTTTTAGAGTGTGGGAAAACCAATCTGAGAAGAACAACCTACCTTGTCCTTGATGAAGCCGATAGAATGCTTGATATGGGGTTTGAACCCCAGATAAGGAAAATCGTGGATCAGATAAGAGTATGGTTCCTGGTGTTAACTTCCTCAAAATCAATTTTTAATCTGTCTGTAGGGTACAGTGTAATAATTTCTCTCCCCAAACCTTTAGCCTGATAGGCAAACCTTGATGTGGAGTGCGACTTGGCCAAAAGAAGTAAGACAGCTTGCTGAAGATTTCCTGAAAGACTATATTCATATAAACATTGGTGCACTAGAACTGAGTGCAAACCACAACATTCTTCAGATTGTGGATGTGTGTCATGACGTAGAAAAGGATGAAAAGTAAGAGTCCTTTAAGGAAATACTGCTTTTCAGTGGGAATCATTGTGTCAGATTGTCTTAAAAATCCATAATTTTTCCTTCATCTCTAGACTCATTCGTCTGATGGAAGAGATCATGAGTGAAAAGGAGAATAAAACCATTGTTTTTGTTGAAACCAAAAGAAGATGTGATGAGCTTACCAGAAAAATGAGGAGAGATGGGTATGTGGCTTCCTACATCAAAGCCAACTTTAAGAAAGGTCAAGTGTACTTCAGAATGGATGAATCTGAGTTTTATGGGCATCGTAGATGGTATAGGCAAAAACTATACATTTCCAGTGAAATTATAGTAACAGCTAGTGAGGTGTAGCTCAGTGGTGTAGAGCAAGCACTTAACTAGTATGTGAAGTGCTGAGGAGAGAAGTTGGAGGTGGTTTGTGGCATACTGGTAGTCGGGGGCGGGTTTTTTTCTGGGTTTGAAGGAGGAGGGGGTGGTATTTTGAGAAGGTCTCCTTATAGCCCCTAATGCCCTCTCTCAGATCTGCCTGCCTCAGCCTCCCAAGTGTTGAGATTAAAACCTGCCCTTCTGTTTCTTAATTTAGGTGGCCTGCCATGGGCATCCATGGTGACAAGAGTCAACAGGAACGTGACTGGGTTCTAAATGGTATGTATTATAAATAAAATAACTTTGTTGGCTTAAGAGCGCTGCTTGCATTAATGATCATTGGTGTGTCTTCCTTTGTAGAATTCAAACATGGGAAAGCTCCTATTCTGATTGCTACCGATGTGGCCTCCAGAGGGCTAGGTTAGTACAAACTCGAATTCGTGGCTTGGTTTCTCAGAAGATCTCCATGTAGTTTTTTTTAAAGAAAGTTTCTTGCTTTCTTTAACCTCTGCATTTTTTCTAAGTTTTTTTCACATAAAGGTGCAGTCTTTGTGGCAAGGCCTAGGCATGACAATCGGAGGACTCGAGGGGGATGGAGGACTAGTGATCGGCTGGCTGCTTCCAGTCGATTAGAGAGGTGAAAAGCTGAAAGTGTGCCAGTAATCTTCAAAGGGCAGAACATACCACCTCTGCCCTATAAACTGTTCTCTCCGGGGGAAAAAAATGGAAGTTACCTCACAGTTCACTGCCGTGGTATTTCATCTGTCCCATGCTTTGCATGATTGCCATGGTACAGCATTGTTTCAAACTGTTCACTGTGATCTGTGGGTCTTTGAGTTTCAGTGAGTTTGCTGAAATGTCGAAGAAATATTTCCAAACTTCAATGTTCAATGAAATTTTTGTTCACGTTTGAAATGGAGAGAGCAGCTTTAAAAGGTACTAAGCCTTTTACAAATTGGTGAGTACTGGCACATGAGACCTAGAGCAGGATCAACTTCTCACACATAGTCAGTGGGAAAAGAAAGTGTCTTGAAAGTTCCTCCCTCACCTACACAGTAGTCGTCATGTCGAGACCTGCCAGAGAGAGACACATTCTCAAGTGAATCCTGGCTTCTTGGAAGCGCTTGCCTAGACGAGACACAGTGCATAAAAACAACTTTTGGGGGACAGGTATGTTTTTCTTGCAGCTGCAGTTTTAAGGTCTTGGCAAGACGAGCAGTGTGGCCAGAATTTTGAACTTCTGATGAGTGTGTAATGAAAAGGACCTTGTACCTTTTTATTTAAAGGTCCTCAAAATGAGCACATGAAGAGGTTGCTGTGAAAGTTTAAGTGGCCCTACTGCGCAGAAGCATGCAGATGTCACTTGATGATCTGTAAGGGGATGTGTGCTGGTTTGGGAATGTGCTAGGAAGAATACACATTCCCTTGACAGGCTGTGTCAGTGGGTGGGTGATAGACTTAATACAGATGACATGTGCTTTTTTCCCCCCCACCCTTTTTTTCAACCTCAGTGGTATTCCTACAGGAAATGGATAACCATTTTAACTGTATTTTTTGCAGCCCATACCTTCTTGGGAATACAATTGTCTAACTTTTTATTTTTGGTCTGGCTGTTGTGGTGTGCAAAACTCCGTACATTGCTATTTTGCCACACTGCAACACTTTACAGATGTGGAAGATGTGAAATTTGTCATCAATTATGACTACCCTAACTCCTCAGAGGATTATATTCATCGAATTGGAAGAACTGCTCGCAGTACCAAAACAGGCACAGCATACACTTTCTTTACACCTAATAATATAAAGCAAGTGAGCGACCTTATCTCTGTGCTTCGGGAAGCTAATCAAGCAATTAACCCCAAGTTGCTTCAGTTGGTTGAAGACAGAGGTTCAGGTAAGAAAAATCTTCAGTAAGAAATGTTGCTAAGTTTGAGGGTGTCATTTTGTCTACAGTCCTCTTAAAAGGGGATTGGAAGGTAAGCCCATTTCATTTGAGAACCTAAATTGGAAAAAAAAAAATTTTAAAAACCTTACATGAATAGAACTGCCTGTACCTTTCCTTCTTTGTTCACACATTTGTGGCATAGATAAAATTGATCAATTTCCAATTCTCTTCACAGGTCGTTCCAGGGGTAGAGGAGGCATGAAGGATGATCGTCGGGACAGATACTCTGCGGGCAAAAGGGGTGGATTTAATACCTTTAGAGACAGGGAAAATTATGACAGAGGTTATTCTAGTCTGCTTAAGAGAGATTTTGGGGCAAAAACTCAGAATGGTGTTTACAGTGCTGCAAATTACACCAATGGGAGCTTTGGAAGTAATTTTGTGTCTGCTGGTATACAAACCAGTTTTAGGACTGGTAATCCAACAGGGACTTACCAGAATGGTTATGATAGCACTCAGCAATATGGAAGCAATGTTGCAAATATGCACAATGGTATGAACCAACAGGCATATGCATATCCTGCTACTGCAGCTGCTGCACCTATGATTGGCTATCCAATGCCAACAGGATATTCTCAATAAGACTTTAGAAGTATATGTAAATGTCTGTTTTTCATAATTGCTCTTTATATTGTGTGTTATCAGACAAGATAGTTATTTAAGAAACATGGGAAATGCAGAAATGACTGCAGTGCAGCAGTAATTATGGTGCACTTTTTCGCTATTTAAGTTGGATATTTCTCTACATTCCTGAAACAATTTTTAGGTTTTTTTTGTACTAGAAAATGCAGGCAGTGTTTTCACAAAAGTAACTGTACAGTGATTTGAAATACAATAAATGAAGGCAATGCATGGCCTTCCAATAAAAGATATTTCAAGACTGAATTAAGTGGAAATTGTACTTTATTTTACATATAATGTCATGTAAAACTTTGCTTAGATAGTATGTTGTTGGGGTTTTGTTGGGAGGTTTTGTTATTTTTTTTTAGACAAACTGAAATTGACTACTTTCCCATTCTTTGTTTAGGCCTGGGGGGAGGGGAATCAGAAGGCCCTTTAATCTGTTCCTGTTAGAAGAATTTAAGGGTACTGAGTAAATTCATATTCTAGGATAAACTGCATAAAAGTTTTGTTTTCAGCTTCAGGAGTCATTTACTAGCCTAATTTCCTTATACCTTAGAAGGAGCAAATAAAAACTGGAACAGGAAATCACCTTAGAATGACAGTATGGATGACTGTTAACTTTTAAATAACTTGATTTTTCAAAACTTTATTCATGCTCTTGGCTCTATTGTGAACTGCCAAGATGAACAGAGTTGAAAGACTTTCTGCCTAAGAGCTGGGCTGGAGTCCTTAACAATTTGCACCCTGTCCTTGGTATGGGTTACCTGTAGGTAGATCTAGTCTTCACAGACTCCCCAGGGTGCTTAACCAGTCATGCTGGGAGTCATGAATGTCTTTACAATAAATAATTCAGGGAATTCTAGAGGTCCTTTCAAACTGTAATGTCTAATTAAACTCCAACACAAGAAAGAAAACCTCATCAAAATTACTAAGGAGGCAACATAACCAAAAGCACAGTAAATACAGGTCTTGCAGGTTAGGTTCAGCATGGGCTTTAATGCCGGAAAGATCCAGGCAATAGCTTTATATCTAACGGGCTCACCAACCTGTTTATTTCAGCAGTGGCTAGTAGGTCTAAATGTCTTCCCAGAGTGGTGATTTGCCCAGGACAATGAAACTTCATTTAAAATTTGATTTTTTTTTTTTATTTAAGAGTAGTCTTTGATGTTAATGCCTTATGGAGATGTAAAGCAAATTAGAAGATGCTAGGGCTGGGGGCTGGAATATAGGGAGTGGTATTTCCAGGACTGGTATTGAACGTGGATTCATCCTCTAGTATAGGACTACCCTGAGTGGTTCCAATGGCATGGTTAGTCAAATTCATAACTTTTAACTTAGAAGCTATTGGGCTAGTTTGGAGCATTTATTACATCTTATACTGTTTAATGTCTTAATGTGGGCCTTTTAATTTGTAAATATTTATGGAAATGATTGTGGGGCTGTGAAAAAACGTGAAATTTTAAAGACAGTCCACTTTTTAGCATGTGTGTTGTGTCCAGCCTGTGGTTGTCTTAACTAATAAATGTGATTTTTCTCCCCACTTGCTCTTTTTGTTATTTCGTGGAGGGGCTTCTCTTCTCCCCTGGTGTTTCCTGGGTGAAAACACTGGGCACTCTACCTTGCTTAAACGGTTTCATTAACTGAGCTGCTGGATTAATGCATTAGCTGTCCTTGTTCTTGGAGTCTAGGGGAGTCTTGGAGTCTAAAGGAAGCTATTGAGTATTCCTGCTTCATAAACAAGGGTGTCACCACCCTTGTGGGTAGTCGGGAAAACAATCTGAAATGTCAGCCCTAGGTGAAGTCCACCGTCAAGCAACGCAAGAAGGCTCTCCTCTTCCGTCTTAGCGTGATGTGCCGCCACGCCCAAGGGCTTCCTGGTGGTGGTTATAGCCCAACCACGTCAGTGGCGTTGAAGCGGGAATTGGACACTTTCCCGTGGAGACTTAATCGTCCCACAGGCCAATCCATCTCACAGAGCACGGTGTTTGGCGCCCGGTTTTGGGCCACCCAGAAAGATGAAAGTTTACATAACGTGGCAGTGGCAGTCGGCGAGGGGAGTCGGGAAAAGGGGGCCAGGCGGAAAATCCAATTCACCAAGCCTGGCGTCAGCGCAGGGCGGGAGACGCCCGGGGAGACTGCGCCCGGAGGGCAGTGACGTGTTCCGGGGTGCGGCCTGGTGCACGCGAGTCACTTCCGTCGCGCCTGCGCCGTGGGCCGCTATGCTCCACTGCGCCCGTGGCGGTTTAGGGATCCGGGTTTACAGGGCGGTGCGGCTCTCAACTTCTGACAACTGAGGGAGATGCGCTGTGGCGCAGCCTCCGGTAGAACTTGCAGGCGCTTGCTGTCGGGGGTCACGGGTCGGGGAGATGGCGCGGCGGAGCTAGGGGCAGCGGGCCCCCCCGGAAGTCCCCCGCCGCCCCCTGCAGCCCGCCAGCCGCCGGAAGCTGCCGAGGGTGCGGAGGGTGGCGTGGCGCTGCTGGAGATCTGCCAGCGGAGGCTCTTCTTCCGCGGGGCTCTGCAGCAGCTGAGCCCGGAATCTCTCTTTCGCGGGTGCCACCCGGGCTTTGGGCCTTTGGGCGTAGAGCTGCGGAAGAACCTAGCCGCAGAATGGTGGGCCTCGATGGTGGCCTTGAAGGAGCAGGTCTTCGCGGTGGACGCCCGCCACCACGAGCCAGGCCCTTTGCAGCCCGGGGACGGTGCCTTCAGGTTAGTTTCTGCAGAATGTATACGTGAAATCTTGCAAGACAAAGATCTGAGTAAGGAACAGCTAGTGGCAGTTCTTGAGAACTTATTAAAAACTTCTGGGAAACTACGGGAGAATCTTCTTCACGGTATGGCTCTTCACGATTTCCTCCTTCTAAACAGGTTTGGGGTGGAAAGGCCATCTCGCATGAGTTGGGGGATTGCAACTGTCCCTAGAGTTCCACGCAAAGAAAGTTACCTGCACCATTGAAAAAGGGCGCGCGGGCGGGGGCGGGGGGGACCGAACCCAACATACTAAGAGTGCCTTAATCAATCTGCCCAGAGGAAACTCATAAAACATTCAGCTTCACTGAGCAACTTTAGAGTTCAGTTAATGAGCCTTAGAATCAAGACCGTAATCCAGCCACGTGTTTGAATGCTCATTGACGCCAAACACTTTCAAATACTCCCGTTTATTCTTCGATTTGACAGTCTACTTGAGAAGTCATTTTCCTAGGTAAAAACCACATTCCCCTTACTGAAAACTGCTCTACAACTTACTGGTTTTTACTCATGAGATAATTTTTTAGTTTGCCAGTTAATAAGATTAACCAAGTCTTAAAGGTGATTCTTGAGTGATGCACAGTAATTTGTAGGCATCATTTGTCTGTAAATAAAATACAACATAATGCAGAAAAGACACTTGCCATGAAGTTTCATCTTTGGGAAATGCTGCCTTTGCCATTTGGTACTATAGAGTAGCATACAATATCCAACGTGTCCAAAATTATTAAAATTAATGTTTACAGGCTGAGCTTGGTGGCACAGGCCTGTAATTCCAGAATCAAGAGGATGGAGGCAGAGGCAGGTGGATCTTTGTGAGATCAAAGCCAGCCTGGTCTACATAGAATGCCAGACCAGCTGGGGCTAACGAGAAGACCCTGTTGCAAAAAAAAAGAAGAAGAAGAAGGGAAAAAAAGAACAAACTGGTGATGTGGTTAGTTTGTAGTATGTTATTCCATATAGCTTTGTTTTGCTTTGGGGGCATTAAATGACTGCTCATTTACCATGTCCCCCAAACAGCTACCTTTTTTCCCCTATCTCTGTTAAAACGAAGTAAGCATCCTCACAGTTGCACAGATCTAAGAAATGAGACTGGCCTCTCTTAGATGCCTATTCATTCAAGGGTCTGTTTATATGCCAGACATTTTCTTTTAGAAAACATACATCCATTGGGGAGTGGTGGTGCACACCTTTAATTCACATACTCAGGAGGCAGAGGCAGGCAGAGCTCTGAGATCGAGGCCAGCCTGGTCTACATAGCAGGTTCCAGGCCAGCTAGGGCTAAAGGGGAGCCCTGTCTCAAAAAAAAAAAAAACAACAAAAAAAGAAAATGTATGTCCTACTGTGTGTGGTGGTGCACACCTCTAACCCCAGAAGGAGAGATAGAGGCAGGAAGATCTCTGTCAAGGCCAGTCCAGTTTACATAGTGAGTTTCAGGCCAGCCAAGGATACATAGTGAGACCCTGTCTCAAAAAAAAAAGAGAGAGAAAACTTAAAATCCTATTTTCTCTCCCTCGCATCTCTGAAAAAGAAAAAAGAACTTAAATCCATCTAGTTACCAAATGTTTTGGTTTTTTCAGTGCTTTTAGCTTAGAATTACCAAGTGTGGCCTTTTTTCTAAGTTCCCAGTGTTCCAGTATCTTTGCTCACTTCTGCTAATGTCTAAACTGTAGTGACATCATTTTTTAAGATGCTCTCACGTAATTCAGACTGGCCTGGAACTCAATACGTAGCTGAAGGTGGCATCTCAAATTGATGATTCTGCTTCCACCTCCCAAGTGCTAGGATTACAGGCCTATGCCTCCATACAGCTGTTTATGTTTGTTTTTTTTTCATTCTTAGCCAACCTTTCTTCTAATATAATTGCTGTCTCATACTCCTGTCTGTGACTAGTTGTATAAGTTTGTCATCAACTTTCTTAAGTGTATCATTGATCATACTGTAAACTCCATGTCTGCTAACGTAAATATCTGTCTCTCTCTGGAGTTTTGGGTTATTTGAATTTTTTTTCAAATATTTTAAAGTATTTGTACAAAAAGTCATAGAGATTGGGCTAGAGAGATGGATCAGCAGTTAAGAGCGCATTCTGGAGTTTACTTCCCAAGTATCCACGTCTGGCAGCCCACAGCCACCTTTGACTCCAACACTGCACTGACATGTACAAACCCACACATACACACATGCACATAATTTTTTTAAAAAGTCATAGAACCTGGGTGTGGTGGCTTGCCTTTAGTTCCAGCACTAGGGAGGCAGAAGCTGGTGAATCTGTGAGATCAAGGCCAGCCTGATCTACATAGTGAGTTCTAGGCCAGCTAGGGCTACAGGAAAACCCTGTCTCAAAAAAAAAAAAAAAAAAAACTCAAAAAAGTCATAGAGATCAATTAAAGCTTTACATACTGACTTTCTTTCCCAAGAGCACTTTTGCTTCTGAAGACAGCTAGAGTGGACTAAGCTAATTTGAGGCTGGCTTCAGTCTTTCAAACTTTGCCTCTTTTCCAATAGAGTGTAAGAGTCCCAGATGAAATCCCAAGTTATTTTCCAGGACTGTTCCTCTTTGGTACACTGCAAACTACAGTTTGTGTACCTCCCAGTCCCCGAATTCAGCCAGGGGCTCTGCAGTTCAGCTTTACAGCTCTGCTGTTTGAGGATTTACAGAGTGGCACCAAAGGCCAAGTTCACTTTCATGTTCTGGATGTGTACTGCCTTGATAGCTCTTTTAAGTAGGTTTTAAAATATTTTAAAACTTTTCTCATTATAGATTAGTCTGCCCAAATTAAGTAATCCTCATTTAATACATAAATAACAACAAAGAGGTTTTTAAACTTTACCTTAGTATTTTCTAAGTAAAGATGTAGAATTCTGAAGTTGGTTCATATATGTTTTCCAGATAGTTAGGTTACTGCTATTAGAACCAGAATTTTCAGAGTGAGAGAAAAGACAAAAATACAAAGAAAGCAAGGATAAATTGTGATTTTGCAAGTCTTGATCTGATTAGTCAGTGTTAACCTTGAACTTTTTTTTTTTTTTTTTTTTTTTTTTGAGGGGAGTATTTGAGACAGTCTCACTATATAGCCTTGGCTGCCCTGGAAGTTGCTGTGAAGGCCAGGCTGACTTGAACTCAACAGAGATCTGCCTATCTCTGCCTCACAAGTGCTGGAATTAAAGGCATGGGCTACCTGCCCAGCCCTGATCTTGAACTCTTGATCCTCCTTCCTCCACCAAGTGCTAAGATTATAGGCATGCACCACCACACTCAGTTTTCATTCATGATTTTTCAAAATGCATATTTTCTGACTTGGTTTCATGGAAAGAGGATAAATGCAATGGCGCTTGGGCAGTGAGCAGACACAGTTCCTAGATCTTGGCCCCTAAAATGAAGTCTTGGAGGCATGGCTGGTTCCAGGTCTAGGATATGGAAAGTCCAGGATTAGTTTGAAGTAATTACTGGTACTGGAAAGCAAAGAATTGCTTGGACAACTCATGGGACACAAAGGAATGTGAAAGTTGGCTAGAAGAGTGGGCTGTCACTGGCTAAGTTTGGCCAAAGTGAGCATTAAAAGAAGCATTAGTCTAGGCAATGGATCTTAGCACACGGAGAGGAAAGGGAAGAGGAAGTTTAGGTTTTTTACAGCAGCTAGCAGTAAACACAGAAGGAAAAATGGTTAATGAAAAAGATTCTCCAGTTTTGCATACGCTTCCCTTAATAATTGATTTGAGCAAAGACCATCAGTGGTATCCACAATATTGAGTGAAATATTTGAGGTGAGCAAGGTATTTCTGGGGAGTAAATATTTACCACTTGAGCAAAGTAATCACATTTAATTTTTGTCCAGGGGATAACGTGATACCTGTTCCTCTGGTATAATGCAGTATATGCCAACAGTGTATTCCTGCTAAGAATAATTAGCTCAAGTTAAATCAACAAGAAACAACCAGACACATCCCAAGTGAGGTAATTTATGACTAGCCAGGATACATGTCAGGAATCATTGTCATTGAACTGAATGTCATAGAAGATGCCTGTAATTCTAGCACTCGGGAGTCTCCAGACTTTTAAGTCCAGCATGATCTACATAATAAGACCTTGTCTCAGGAACAGAACAAAAGCAAAATTGGTAGGGAAGGAGTCAGGGGAAGTTTTTAAAATTATTTCATTGTATTTTGTGTGTGTGTGAGTGTGCTACAGCAGACACGTTCAGGTCAGAGACCAACCTGTGGGAACCGGTTCTGCCACCATGTGGGGCTGAGGGGTCGAACTCGGGTTGTCAAGCTTGGCAGCAAGTGCCCTTACCCTCACCCTCCGAGCCATCTTGCTGGCCCAGTGGAAATGTTCTTAATTGGGGGATTGATAGTCCATGAACTTTAAAGAACAAAAGCTGGCATTTGGGAGTGAGAATTAGAACCAAAAAATCTACCAGCCATATGTTAGATGATATTTCATTTTAGTTAACTAATGGTTTAATAATGGTTATAGAGAATATTTTCAGGAGATGAATGTTACAATGTTAGGAGTAAATGAGAAAAAAATATGGCAAAGGGTCCAGATGAGGGGTATATAGGTGTTTATTATATACAGGTGCCCTTTGTTTTGGGGGTGAGTTTCTCTTGTTTGGCTTGTTTTTGTTGAGAGGATCTCAGGAAGCTGAAACAGGCCTCAAACTCATTATGTAGCTGAGGATGGCCTTGAACTCCTGATCCTCCTGTCTCTACCTCCGAGGTTCTAGGATTACAGGTATGTACCCACACCTGGCTGGTTGACTCAATTTCTTTTTTTTTTTTTTTTTCCTTTTCTTTGAGACAAGATCTCAGTAAGTAGCCCTGTCTGGAGCTTGTTGTGTAGACCACAGTGGCCCTGAACTTACTATGTAGACCTGCCTGCCTCTGCGTCCCAAGTGCTGTGATTAAAGGCATGTACCATCATGCCTGGCTCTGGTTCTAGTTCTTTTTCTTTAAAGATGATAGACTATATTTCATTCTTTTGTTTTTTTGAGACAGGGTTTCATCATGTATCTCAGGTTCACCTTGAACTCATAATGTAGACCAGGCTGGCCTCAAATGTCATCAATCCTGCCTCAGTCTCCTGAGTACTAGGATTAAAGGCCTACACCACCACACCTAGCATGTTATACTGTTCTTTCAATTTTTTTTGTAGATTTGAAAATCATGGGAGGGGAAGGGCCACTATCTAAAATTTAGTGTTAATTATGCTGCTTGTACTGCGAGGCTAATATTACTGGCATGGTTTGACAAAAACAGTTTGGGTGTCTGGAATAGATTTATACAATGATTGGGGTTTTTTTGTTTTTTTTTTTAATAGGTGCTTTGGAGCATTATGTTAATTGCCTGGATCTGGTAAACAGAAGGCTACCTTATGGCCTTGCTCAGATTGGAGTGTGTTTCCACCCTGTTTCGAACACTGAGCAGATACCTAATGGCGTTAAAAGGTACTAAGTGTGACAAATAATCTGGCCTGGTTCTTAAGTAATCAAGAACCAGTCATTCCCACTTTGGGATACATTGTGTAATTTCCAGAAAAGCTAACTTGCTGATTCCCTCCCCCCCCCAAAGAATTGCTGAGAAGACTGAAGCTTCCTTAGTCTGGTTTACTTCTGCAAGGACTTCAAGCCAATGGCTTGATTTCTGGTTGCGCCATCGGCTCCTGTGGTGGAGAAAGGTACTGTAATATTTAACTGCTAAATGAACTACATCTCCAGCCCCCTAGTAAATTGTCTTAATGTATTAGAGATAATGCTTTTGTGTCTTAAATGAAATTTGGGGGTTTGTGTTTTGGTGGTGGTGGTGGTGGTGTTTTGAGGCAGAGTCTAATGTTGCTCAGGCTGGCCTTGAACTTGCTATGTAGCTTGACTCATGATCCTCCTGCCTGTGCCCCTGGGTACTAGGATTACAGGGGTTTTTTTGGTTTTGTTTTGGTTTTTGGTCTTTTTTGAGATAGGGTCTCCCTGCAGCCCCAGCTGGCCTGGAACTCAGAGATCTGCCTGCCTCTGCCTCCCGAGTGCTGGGACTAAAGGTGTGTGCCACCGTGCCCAGTTATAAATGAAATTTGTTAATCGCTGTAATTTTTTTTCTATATGTTGGGTTTCTTTTATAATTTTTTTTTATTGTGGATGGACTGGAGAGATGGCTCAGCTGTTAAGAGCACTCGTTCTTGCAGAAGACCCCTGTTCATATCCCAGTACCCGCATGGCAGCTAACAACTCTCCAACTCCAGTTCCAGGGCATCTGACACCCTCTTCTGTCCTCCCTCAAGCACTGCATGACATGGGTGCACTTACACATATGCAGTATAATATTCATACACATAAATAATAATTTTTTAAAATTTTATTGTTGGCCCGGTGTGGTGGCGCACGCCTTTAATCCCAGCACTCAGGAGGCAGAGGCAGGAGGATCTCTGAGTTCCAGGCCAGCTGGGGCTACAGGGAGACCCTGTCTCAAAAAGACCAAAACAAAACAAAAAAATTTTATTGTGGGTCTAGAGAGGTGACTTAGCAGGTAAGAGTTCTTGCTGTTCTTACCAGAAATCAGTTCCTAGCACCCACATCAAGCTTCATGGGATCCAACTTCTTTTTGTTCTCCAAAGCCACCTGTACACACATGGCAGGTAGGTGCTCTTGTGAACACATGAGCACACACAAACTCATAAATAAAAAATGTTTTTAAAAAATTGTTACATTTTTATGGGGCTGGAGAGATAGCACAACAATTAAGAACACTGGTTGTTCTTGCAGAAGACCTGGGTTCGAATCCCAGCACCTACATGGCAGCTAACAGCTGTCTATAACTCCAGTTCCAGGGTATCTTGACAATCTCTTCTGTCCTCCCTGGGCATTGCACAACATGGAGGCACTTACCTACATGCAGGCAATACACGTATACACTTAAAATAAAATTAAAAAATTGTTGCATTTTTATTACTTATGGGAGCTTACATGTAGCGGTCAGAGGGCATCTTCTCTCTCTCTCTACCATGTGGGTTGTTGTTGTTGTTTTGTTTTGTTTTGTTTTTGAGACAGGATCTCACTCTAACCCAGGCTGGCCTGGAATTCACTTTGTAGCCGAGGCTAGCCTGTTACTCCTGACAGTCCTCTTAACCTCAACTGGGTTTGTAGGTGAGCCTCCAGCCCACCCATTTGGTTATGTTTTTTGTTTGTTGCAGTCCTGAAGATTGAATCATGTTAGGGTTAGGCAGGGACTCTACTACTGAGGTATACTCTTACCCTGCCAGACTGTATCTGTAAGAGGAAGCTATAATCAAATACAACAAAGGGGCTGGAGAGATAGCTCAGTGGTTAAGAGCACTTGCTGCTAACAACCATCCATAACTCCATTTCCAGGGGATTTGACGCCCTCTTTTCTCCACAGGCTTTGCATAGTGTAGGTGCATTTACATATATGCAAACAAAACACTCGTACACATAAAATAAAAAAATTTTTTTTAAAGAAACCAAAAGGCTTTTTGTAGTGATTTTCATTGATCCAGTGAGTATTAGTGGGTATCGGGCTCACTCTGGTGAAGACTTGTTGAGCTCAGATGCTTTTGCTAACCCTTTATGTTAGAGGTAGAGCACCAGCCTCTCACCTAGGATTCCTGCTGGTGTAGAGTTTGACCCTTGTATACTTGGATGCTTTCAGCTTTGTTACCTACTTCATGAACCTCCATACTAGTCAAAATGGTTCTATAGTTTGTAGCTGTCAATGTATGCAGAAGACTTGATGTTGTCTTACTGTTGTACTGTTTTTCCAACTTCTGAAAACCCCCAAATTATCAGTCTAAACTAAATGGGGGGAAAAAACCCACAAATAACCAAACACTTCAGATAAAGTTGAGAATGCTGTCTTTGGGATACTTTCTTTATCATAGGTAGCATCGATAGTTTTCTCAGACCCAAACCCCAGTATGTTTAGTGGTTTACTCACCTGTACTTAAACATAACAATTTCTATTTGGGACTTGACTGTTTTCAGTCTGTTGCTGAATAAAAGTCTCAGGAAACCTTAATTCTTAGAGATAATTATGGGATTAAAAGTAATTTAACATTCATTTGAATTGTTTTTTGATTTTATATGTATAAGTGTTTTTCCTGCATGTATATAACTGTACCAGGTGCATGCAATGCTTACGGAGGCTAGAGGAAGGCGTTAGATCCCCTGGAACTGGAATTGGGGATGGTTGTTAGCCACCATGTGGGTATTGAGAACCAAACCCACAAACTCTGCAAGAACAGCCAGTGCTCTCAACTGCTGAGCCATTGCTCCAGCCTCAGCATTCATTTTAACATATTGACAAGACAAACTTTCTTTTCCAGTTTGCTATGAGTCCATCTAACTTCAGCAGCAATGATTGTCAGGATGAAGCTGGACGAAAAGGAAGCCAACTTTACTATAATTTTCCCTGGGGGAAGGAGCCAATAGAAACCCTGTGGAATCTAGGAGATCAAGAACTCTTACACATGTATCCTGGAAATATGTCCAGTTTACACGTATGTTTCACCTTGAACTCCCATGTGTTCTTTAAGATTTATGTGTATGAGGGGCTGGAGAGATGGCTCAGCGGTTAAGAGCACTGACTGCTCTTGCAGAGGACCCAGGTTCGATTCCCAGCACCCACATGGCCGCTATGAACCGTCCTTAACTCCAGTTCCAGGGGAATCCGAAGCTCCCTTCTAACCTCTGTGGCATTGTACGGCACAGGTACACTGCCATACATGTAGGCAATACACTCACACACATAAAAGATAAAAATAATAAAATACTTTTTTAAAAAATATTTATGTGTATGAGTGTGTGCATGTATGTATGTGTACAACATGTGTACCCATGTGTTCTTTACCCAGATTCTCTGTAGCCATCTCTTAACCATTGAATAATTGCAGACATGGTGTCCCATGACTCCTTAATAATAACTTTATGTGCATTTTTTAGACAGTACCCAACTACAACCATACTACAGCCATTAAAGTCAGGAAATGAATAGTAACCCACTATTATTCATTCCTGTTAAGACTGTACTGACTATCCCAGTAATGTGGATTTTTGGGCCCAGGATTCAATCCAGGAAGCCACATTCCATGGAGTTGTCATGTCTCTAACCTCTTTCAAATGAATAATTTCTTTTATCTTTCTTACCTCTTGTGATTTTGACACTTTTTTTTTTTAAGGCAGGCTCTCCATGTAGCCCCAGCAGGCCTAGTACTCACTTTGTAGACCAGGTTGGCCTTGATCTCAGAGATCTGCCTGCCTCTGCCTCCTGAATGCTGGGATTAAATGTGTGCACCACTATGTCCAGCCCTCTTTTTTTGTTTGTTTGTTTTTTTTTGAGGTAGGATCTCTGTGTAGCCCCAGCTGGCCTGGAACTCATTATGTAGACCAGGCTGGCCTCCAACTCACAGAGATCCACCTGCCTCTGCCTCCCAAGTGCCAGGATTAAAGGCATGTGCCACCATGCCTGGCCTCATGACACTTTTGAAGAGAACCAACTAATTACTTTGTAGAATGGCACGTCGTGTAGCTCTGCCTGAACTTTCGTGGTTCCTGTATTTGTGCCAGGAATACCACAGAAGCTGTGCCTTTCTCCTTAGGGCTGTTAGAAGGCACCAGTGTGTACCAGCATATGTTGTTTTCTGTCATTTATATCTGTATTTTAGGATGAAACCCAAATCCAAGTGAATATAGATCCACCCTATAATCCCATTGAGATTATAAGGAAATCTCCCATTGAGATTTCAAGGTCAGCCTTTGAGCCTCCCTCAAAAAAAACAAAGCAGGGCCTTTGAGATGGTTCTGCTGGTAAAGGCACTTGCTGCCAATCCTGACGACCAGAGTTCTATCCACAGAACCCACATGGTAAAGGAAAGAACCAACTCCCAGAAGTTGGCCTCTAACCTCCATGTGCCTCCCTCTCCCCCCACCCACATCATCACTAACAAAAAGTAATAGTAAATGGAATATTAAGAGTGTTCCCTTTCCATGTAGCAGATCCCTCCCTGAAAGCACTAAAGTACTAAAGTGTAGATCCCACTGGGGGTGAGTTGGTTCATCTCTAGGAGTGGAGCTCAAGCACTGCTGCTATACTAGGTTTTACATTTACACATGATTGTAATGTGGCCAGCTGGCAGCCACTGAATCAAATCCTCAACTCCTGGAGAAGAGAGACAGTGTCATCATCTTTGGGCCATGTGGTATGGAGTAGGTACTTTAGAAATTAATGTGTAGTTCTGTATTCTGATTATGTAAACTACATGATTTTAGAAGTTCTACCAAATGATACGTTTGTTCTGTTCTGTGAAGGGCCGAGATGGACGGAAACATGTGGTTCCTTGTGTTCTGTCTATAAATGGTGATCTAGACCGAGGTCTGGTGGCTTACCTCTACGATTCTTTCCAGCTCACAGAGAACTCCTTTTCAAGGAAGAAAAGCCTTCATAGAAAGGTGCTTTTGATATTTGAGATGATTTGGAAAACTAAAGTTATGTTTTGTTTCTTTTTTATGTTAACTGTTCTTCCCCTTCCTCCCCTTCCCTTCCTTAATTGCCTTAGGTACTGAAACTTCACCCTTGTTTAGCCCCTATTAAGGTGGCTTTGGATGTGGGAAAAGGCCCAACGGTGGAACTCAGACAGGTGGGTTGTTAACTGAATTTAATTGCCATGACTTTTCTTACATTACATTTTATGGTGCCAAGGGTATGGAAGTCAGAGTACAATTTTCAGGACCACCTCCTATGCAGGTCCTAGGGATGGAACTCAAGTGGTCAGACTTGGTAGTAAGCAACTTTATCCACTAGCCATCTCTTAGCAAGTTGCCATGGTTAGTCTATGTAAGTGTGGTAGAGTACCATTTTATTTATTTATTTATTTATTATTATTATTTATTTAATTTTTTTTTTGTCTTTTTTGAGACAGGGTCTCTCTGTAGCCCCAGCTGGCCTGGAACTCACTAAAGACCAGGCTGGCCTTGGACTCCCAGAGATCTACCTGCCTCTGCCTCCAAGTGCTAGGATTAAAGGCATGCGCCACCACACCCAGCGAGTACCATTTAATTTTTATTTTGCTTTTTTAAGTATTTTAAATAAAAAACTATGAATAATTACTGTGATTAATTAGATAAATTGAGGGTATGTTAAAGATTTTGAACATGCCGGGTGTGGTGGCGCATGCCTTTAATCCCAGCACTCGGGAGGCAGAGGCAGGTGGATCTCTGTGAGTTCAAGGCCAGCCTGGTCTACAGAGTGAGTTCCAGGACAGCTGGGGCTACAGGGAGACCCTGTCTCAAAAAGACCAAAAAAAAAAAAAGATTTTGAACATAATTTGGTGGATTTCGATGTTAGTTACACCCTCTCAGTTTCACTTTTTTTTTGTCTTTTTGAGACAGATTCTCCTGATAGCCCCAGCTGGCCTGGAACTCACTCTGTAGACCAGGCTGGCCTTGAACACACAGAGATCCATCCGCCTGCCTCTGCCTCCCAAGTGCTGGGATTGAAGGCGTGCACCACCATGACTGGCCATCAGTTTCGCTTTTTTAAAAAATTTATATGTGTGTATCTGTGAATATAGGCTGAGTGTGTGGGTGACCAAGAAGGTCAGAAGACAGCCATGGGTCCTCTACAAGCAAGTGTTCTTAGCCACTGAGCCATCTCCAGCCTTGACTCTTGTCTGTTTCAATTACTAATACGCCTGAGGAAAGCCAGGGGGGCTTTTTTTCTTCCTTTCCTAAGACTCTTGAGCAGTCATCACTTCTGTTTTGGGGACTCAGACCCACCCAGGACCTAAGGACAAAAAAGGGATTCAAAGACTTGGGGTGTTTCCTATGTGGGGTGTTTCCACTTTAGAAAAGTAGACCCTAATGACTCCAGCAAAGAGAAGAAAAGGACTTAGTTCCTGTGTTCCTGACTCTCTTCCCCACCATGGGAAGGGGAAGAGTTTGGGGGAGGGGGTTGCTGCAGGCACCTAATGGCCAGGGATGCAGCTAAGCTTGCTGTGTCCACAGGATCTGAGGGTGAGGCCTGCTCTAGTGTTTAGTTCCAGATGGTAAGGAGGTTTGAAATTATACTTTCTTTTGCTTTGCCATGGCTGATTCCATGTTACTATTTATTTATTGTTCTATTATTTTTTGGTCCTAAGAGTTGAACCCAGGACCTCAAACATGCTAGACAAGCACTCTGCCTCTAAGCTATGAATTCCCACCCTGTATTTACTACTTTTATATTCCAGTCAGGCTTTTGTGTCCAGTATTCCACTGAAACCAGTCATTCTCTTGAAGCATTTTCTTTTTTTAATGATTTTATTTATTATTTTTATTTTATGTGTACGAGTGTATTACCTGCATGTATGTAAGTGCACCTGTGTCATGCAGTGCCTGCGGAGGTCAGAAGAGAACATCAGATTCCCTGGAACTGGAGTTTTTGGACAGTTCTTAGCCATCATGTGGCTGCTGGGACCTGAACCTGGGTCCTCTGTAATAGCAGCCAGTGCTCTTAACCGCTGAGCCATCTCTCCAGCCCCTCTTAAAGCATTTTCTGCAATTGGCTTTGAGAATGCCATGCTGCTGGATTTTCTCATACTAATTCTTCTCTGGCCCTTCCTTCTTCTCCTGATGTGGGAGTAAAACTCTGGGATGCATTTCTCACCTGTCACATGACTCTAGAGCTCTAGCTATAGAGTCTTTGGACTCTCAGGGTTTCTGAAGATTTATTTTATGTGTTTGTGTATATATATGTACACATGCATGTGAGTGTCCAAGGAGGACAGAGGTATTGGGTAATCTGGAGCTAGCATTACAAGCAGTTGTGAATTACCTGACCTGGGTGCTGGGAACATAACTATGTTTGTGTTTTAAATGATAATGATGATATTCTTAGTTGGGGGCTGGAGAGATGACTCTGGTTAATATAGCCCTGGCTGCTCTTGCAGAGGACCAGGTTTAGTTCCCAACACCCACCCACAAGGCAGCTAACAGCTGTCTATAATTCCAGGGGATCTAATGCCCTCTTCTGGCCTCCATAAGTTTGCATGCGCATAGTACATTTACATATATACAGGTAAAACACTCATATGCGTATAATAAAACTAAATTTAAAAGAAAAGGTTTTGGGTTGGTATAAGAATATCTCTTGGAAGATTTGCATTCAGTCTTCAGTTGGCCTTGCTCAGTTCTTCATTTTCAGGGGGAAGTGTATAGTTTCTAAAGTATAAAATACATGAATTATAAACATTGGTATCACATGACATATGTATATGCATTTTAGAGATTGATTTATAGTTTTACAAAAGCAAGACACTAGCTACTTTTATTTATTTCATTTGGAGTCTTTTTCCTTCAGGTTTGTCAAGGGCTATTTAATGAATTACTAGAAAATGGGATTTCTGTGTGGCCTGGTTATCTGGAGACTGTGCATTCCTCATTGGAACAACTCTATTCAAAGTAAGAATTACTCCCCTTGTCATTAAAATAGCTATGCACCACCATGCCAAGTTTAAGAAAATAAACATTTAATGTGACTTGGAAAGGCCAGTGTGGATTTATTCAGTGATTGCTGAACTAGGAACTATAGCTTAGCTATAAATGAAGCATGAATTTGGCATAATTTATTGTATATCAAATCTTTGTTTTTTATTTTTATTTTATAGTATGAGTGTTTTGCCTGCATGTAAGTGCACTCGTGTGCAATGCCCATGGAGGCCAGAAGAGGGTATCAGATCTACCTGAACTTGAGTTAGAAATGGGTGTTAATTGCCATGTGAATGCTGGAAACTGAACCTGGGTCCTCTGCAAGAGCAGCCAGTGCTTTTAACCACTGAGTCATCTCTCAAGCCCCCCAAATCTTTATTTTAATGTGGTTTATTGTAAGAGGATTTAGTCTACAAATATTGTTCTCTCATGGAAACCAAATTCAAAAGACTGAGGTCATTATAGAATTCATCCATAATGGTGTGTTCAGGTACCAGTGTTTATTTCTTACATTTTAGTTTGACTTTTCAGTCACTGCAGTAAGTTCAGAAGTTCACTTTGTATGTTTCAGAAACAAAATTGGGTTGGTGGTGGGGAGGATTGGTTCCACTCAGGCCTGGCTGTAGCTCAGAAGTGTCTCGGACTCCAAGGTAGGCAGAGCCACTGTTACAGTGGGCTCATGTACTGTTGAACTGCATTTTTCTTAGGTATGATGAGATGAGCATCCTCTTCACAGTCCTGATTACTGAAACTACTCTGGAGAATGGATTAATCCATCTGAGAAATAGAGATACCACAATGAAGGAAATGATGCACATATCGAAATTAAAAGACTTTCTAACCAAGTATATGGCTGCAGCTAAGAATGTATAGGTTTTCATATTTCTATAATAAAAATTCTTCATTGGTTGTCTTATGTTAATATTTTTGGTCCCTTTATATTTATAAAGTAGACATTTTTGGTGCTTTTAAAAATTACACTTTTGATATATTCTATTGTCTTAAGCAAGGCTGGTTTGGGCTGCATAGTGAGAACTTGTCTCAGAAAAGAAAAAAGAGAACTGGGTGTGGTGATGCACATCTTTCATCCCAGCACTCAGGAGGCAGAGGCAGGCAGATCTCTGTGAGATTGAGGCCAGCCTGGTCTACATAGCAAGTTCCAGCCAGGTGGGACTACAGAGAGACTCTCTAAAAAAAATAAAATAAATATATATCTCCAGGGACAGGACGTGGTACCTGTAATCTCAGCACTTGGGAGGCTGAGGCAGGAGGCTCGACAAGAATTCCCCAAAAAAGCAAACAAAAAGACTAGCAAGATGGCTCCACAGGTAAAGGCACTTGCCATCGAGCCTGTTGACCTAAATTTGATACCCAGAACTCAGTGATAGGAGACAACAAAATCTGCAGCTTGATCTCTGACCTCCAGGTTTACTGTGGCAAGTACCCTACACTCCCCAAAATACATTTTTTAAAAAATAAAAGGGACAGGGGCTGGAGAGATGGCTCAGTGGTTAAGAGCACTGACTGCTCTTGCAGAGGATCCAGATTTGATTCCCAGAATCCACATGGCAGCTACAAACTGTCCTTAACTTCAGTTCCAGGAGAATCTGAAGCCCTCTTCTTATCTCTGTGGCATTGCATGACATGGGTGCACTCACATATATGCAGGCAGTACACTCATACACATGGACTAAAAAATATTTTAAAAAATAAAAGGGACAACGGACATGGTGCACGCCTTTAATCCCAGCACTCAAGGAGGCAGAGGCAGGCAGATCTCTCTTGTGTTCAAGAACAGCTGAAGCTACAGGGGAGACCCTGTCTCAAAAAAGACCAAAAAGAAAAAAAAATGAATAAATGGGAATCCAGGGGATAGTGTAACTGTTTATAGTTAGTGACTTTGGTGCTTTTTGTCTTCCTTTTATTTGGTGGTTTGGTTTGGAATTTTTTATTTTATGTGTGTGGGTATTTTGCCTGAATGCACATAAGTGCACCTGTGTCATCACTTCAACAGAGGCTAGAAGAGGACACTGGTTCCCCTGGAACTGGAGTTACAGTTTTTCACCACCATGTGGGTGCTGGGAACTGAGCATGGGTCCTTAGCAAGAGCAGCTAGTGTTCTTAAACACAGCCATCTCACCAGCCCTTGGTTTGGATCTTTGAAACAGCTGCAGGTACAGCCCGAGATGGGTCAGTGGTTAAGAGCACTGGCTGCTCTTGTAGAGGACCTAGGTTCTGTTCCTAGCACTCACATGGTGGCTGACAACTGTTCATAACTCCAGTTCCAGGGGATCCAACAGCCTCTTCTGTCCTCCGCAAGCAATTGCACGACATGGGTACACTTACCTATATGCAGGCATAAACACATATAAAATATTTAAAAATATATGTATGCATAATACATAAATATTCTTGTTTGTTTGTTTGTTTTTGTTTTTTGAGACAGCACCTCCCTGTAGACCCAACTAGCCTGGAACTTGCTATGTAGACCAGGCTGGCCTTGGAACTCACAGCAATCCACCTGCTTCTGCCTCCTGAGTGCTGGGATTAAAGGCATGCATCACCACACCCAGCTTTTTTTGAGACACGGTTTCTCAGTATTTAATTTTAATGGCTGTAATTTCTCTACCAAAAAAATGCTTCGAAGTCATTTCTAACATAGAAGAATATGAAAGGTACATGTTTAAAAAGTTCAAACTAGAAAAATGGTAGGAGGTGTGATGATCTTTTTTTAAAAAAAATTATGTGTATGAGTGTATTGCCTGTATGTATGTAAGTAGTACACCTGTGTCATGCAATGCCCAGGAGGTCAGAAGGTACCAGATTCCCTGGAACTAGAATTACAGCCGTTTCTTAGCTGCCATGTGGATGCTGGGAACCGAACCCAGATCCTCTGCAGGAACAGCCAGTGCTCTTAACTGCCGAGCCATCTCTCCAGCCCCAGATGTGATGATCTTTTAAAAGTGGAAGTGAACCTGAAGCTCAGTGATTGGGCCAAGCTAGCTGTTCAGAGAGCCAAAGGGATCCACCTGTCTCCACCTCCCCAGTGTGGAATTAGGACACAAGCACAGGCAACTTTTTATATGGGGCCTGGAAATCCAAACCTAGGTCCTCATGTCGGTGCAGTGGTTGTGCAGCAGGCAGGTGGGCAGGCACTTTACCGACTGAGCCATCTCCCCAGCCCCTACCTCTATTTAAAAGCAGTTATTTTTTATTACAGTACAAGATGTACTCATTTTCAAATGCTCTTCTCACTTTCGGCCACTATTTTGCCCTCTACTTGGCACAAATTTCTAGCTTTTTTTTTTCTTTTTTTTCGTAGCCCTCAGCAGCCCCTTGTCTCAGCCTCCCAGGTTCTGGGATTATGGGCATGCACTACCATGCCCAGTTTAAATTTTTTTGTAACTGTAAATTAGTGTCAAACATTTAAGACAAAGTGTCTCCATTCTGGGAGTGTGCTTGCCTATCATGCACAAAGCCCTGGGTGGATCTGAGCACTGCATAAATCAGGCATGGTACCCACACCTATGATACCAGCACTCTGCGGGCAGAGTCCGGGGAAAGAGAAGTTAAAGTTCATTCTTGATTCCTTGGCTGTGTAGTGAGTTTAAGGCTAGCCTGGAATACATAATTGAGTATGTGGGAGTTGGGGGTGTTTTCTGCTTTGGAGCAGTGTTTCTGAGGGACCAATCATCTGTACAAAGGCCTCCATATATATATACATTCAGATATATATGTTACATACATGTATATAAATATATGTAGTCTGGTATGCTTTAATTTCTGTTTGTTGATATAGGATCTTGTTTTGCTTCCTTTTGAAACAGGATCTCACTTTGTTGCCCTGACTGGCCTGGAACTCTCTATATAGACAAGGCTGGCCTCACAGAGCCTACTTCTGCCTCCCTAGAGCTGGGATTAAAGGTGTGCACCACCATGCCTGGACTGAGGTATAGGGTCTTAATGTAGCTCTATAGCCAAGGATGACCTTGAACTCCAGATCCCCCTGCTTCTACCTCCCAGGTGCTGGGTTATAACTGTGGGCCACTACTCAGCTGTTACATTATTTCATATGAAAGATCATTTTGTTCCAAATATAACAGAAAGAATTAGTCCATAATGCAATTTTTTTTTTAATAAACCATACCTTACCTCTCCCTGTAGCCCCAGCTGGCCTAGAACTCACTATGTAGACAGAGATCTGCCCCTCTGCCTCCTGAGTGCTGGGATTAAAGGCGTGTGCCACCATGCCTGGCTCATAAAATAAAAACAATAAAATATTTTTTTAAAAAAGAAAAAGAGGGGCTGGAGAGATGGCTCAGTGGTTAAGAGCACTGGCTACTCTTGTAGATGACCTGGGTTCGATTCTCAGCAACCATGTGGCAGCTAACAACCATCCAAAACTCCAGTTCCAAGGCTCTGACACCCACTTCTGACCTCTTCAAGCATTGCATGACATGAATGCACTTACATACATGCAGACAATACCCTCATACATACAAAAATAATTTAAAGAAAAACTTGAGAAATAACAAAATTGTATCAAATGCACTATTTTTTTTTATTTTATCATATGAGTGTATTGCCTGAGTGTATATAAGTGCACCTGTGTCATGCAATGCCCGAGGTCAGAAGAGGGCATTGGATCCCCTGGAACTGGAGTTAGGGACGGTTGTTAGCCGCCATGTGTGTGCTGGGACTCGAACTTGGGTCCTCTGCAAGAGCAAACAATGCTCTTAACTGCTGAGCCATCTCTCCAGTCCTCCAAATACTTTCTTACCAAACCACTTAGTGAATTAAAAATCCGATAAAGTATGGACCTAAAGAAGGCACTGTCAGATCACCGGCAAACATGACCGTGGCAGTAGACAACTGGGTACTGGTTGCTTCCAACTTTTTGGGTTGTTTTTGTTTCATTTGGGTTTGGGTTTGGGTTTTCTTTTTGTTTGGTGTTTTTTGATTTGGATTTTTTGGGGGAGGGGTGGTCTTTTCAAGACAGGGTCTCCCTGTAGCCCCAACTGATCTGGAACTCACTGTAGACCAGGCTGACCTCAATCACACAGAGATCCACCAGGCATGCACCACCACACCTGGTTCCTCCAGCTCTTTAAATATAAGTCGGCATACCTGATTCCTATTACCCAAATGGTCAGTGGAATAACAAAGGAAGCCCAACTTTCAGAATCACTGCCTCAAACGAGTCACACATGTTGAATTCTTTTTCTTAAAGATTTAGTTTTACTTTTTATGTGTATTAGTGTTTTGCCTGCATGACCTATGTATACCATGTGCATGCCTGGTGCCCATGGAGGTCCGAGAAGGTGTCAGATCCCCTGGAACTGGAGTTACAGATAGTCATTAGCTGCCAAGAGGGTGCTGGAAACCAAACCTGCTCTTCTGCAAGAGCAGCCAGTGCTCTTCACCACTGAGCCATCTCTCTAGCTCCCCATTTTGGAGTCTTATGGAATTCAAGAATAGTTCTTGCTACTTCAATACCTAAAAAGTTGAATTACTTAACCTCCAAAAAAAAGAGAAAAATCATGGCAGAGTTAAAAGCAAGAAAAATAGCCTTACAACCTCTTTCATGACTGGTGTCCTTCGCTAGTACTCTGTCCTTCCTCAGCACCTAATCTTACTTTCTCATGGGCTCCTTTCTAAATATTATGCTATACCCACACTTACAGCTGTTTACATATTTAATATATACATTATAGATTCAGATCTGTATATGAAGGAGAGCATTTTTTTCTTTGAGTTTCATGACTTCACTTTTCTTTTTTTGTTTGTTTTTTTTTTTTTTTTTTTGGTTTTTTTTTTGAGACAGGGTCTCCCTGTAGCCCCAGCTGGCCTGGAACTCACTATGTAGACCAGGCTGGCCTCAAACTCACAGAGATCCACCTGCCTCTGCCTCCCAAGTACTGG